GCACCGGGGGCATCGGACGCCGCCGGGACCCCCTCCCGCTCCCGCGGGGGCTCGCGTCTCCAGACCCCGGATCCCGAGCACGCGGACGCGCGGCCATGGGCGGCGACGGGGAGCCCTGCGGGCAGCCGAGGCTGCGGGGGGCGCCGCTCCCCACCTTCCGCTGGGAGCAGATCCGCTCGCACGACTTGCCGAGCGACAAGTGGCTGGTCATCGAGCGCCGCGTCTACGATATCAGCCGCTGGACACAGAAGCACCCGGGAGGCAGCCGGCTCATCGGCCACCACGGCGCCGAGGACGCCACGGTGAGAACGCCCCGACCTGGGGGTGGTGGGCGCTGCGCCCCGCTCGGGCATCCTCCCTCCCCCAGCGGACTTTGACCTCCTGGGCTGGGCGTGGAGTTGGATGGATGAGGTAGGGTCTGATGCTGAGCCAGGAGGCTGTGTCCCTGCGGGGGACGTGCGCAGAGGACCACGTACACAGGGGCTCTGGGGCTCCCACGTGCCTGGGTCCGGGTGGGCCAGGGGCCCTCCCTGCTGCTCTGAGGGTCCTTGTCTCGGTCCTGGGCCCCCCCAAGCTCAGCGTTTGCAGGGGCGGAGCGCGGAGGTGTCATCCGCTCTGAGGAGCAGAGCTGGGCAGGGCCGGCAGGCTTGTGGCTCTGCTTAGAGCTGCTGTAAGTGGGCAGGGGGGGGGGGGCAGTGAGTCACCGCTCCTGAGCTGGCAGCTCTGAGTAGAAGGTCAGTGCCAGCCAGCCAGGGTGGGCCTCCTCCGGAAGCACAGTCACCCTAGGAGCAGACTGGCCCCCGGGGACCCCGGCTTTTTCTGCCCAACCATGTCTGGTCATGTTTTGGCCAAGGAAGGCTGTGGCCTGGACGGGCCCAAATGGCTGGCGGGAGGCCAGCAGTGAAGCAAGAAGTCACGCTAAGACTCCTCGGGAACCCCCTTCACCCCTTCCCAGACAGAGAAGGGGGCGACAACTAAGGTGCCTCCATCCTTGGCCCGCTGAATGTGTAGGGTGGGCACACAGGGTCCAAGAAGGTCTTGGAGGGGTGGCACCCTAGCGGGGAACTTTTGACAGCAGGTTCCAGATGCCAGCCTCTCTGCCCGCCAGGTCAGCGTCCCCTGCACGCCCTCTGCCACAGGCTGCATGGTCTTTGAAGGAAGTGTCTAAGGCAAAGTAAGAGCTCCTCTTCCCGACTTTTTCCCAGAAAGCAGAGAGGTGAGGGCCAGGAACCACATGGAAGCAAATCCTAACAGAAATAGACAGCCGTGCCCAGGGGTGCTGAGGGAGTGGACATGGCAGCGAGGCCTATACAGTCCCGGAGTTGAAGCAGCCTGTGGACCGTCAAGTGCTGGGCAGTGTGGGCCTGTGCACCAAGCTAATGCAGAGGTTGCACTTGAACAAATGCCTGTGTGTGGTGTGTGTGGTATGTGCGGTGTGTGCTGTGTGTGAAGAGGGAGGAAGGTCGTGTCTTATACACATCATTGTACATTTGTGCATGTGTGTATAGAGGCTGGGGGCCTGTGTGTACAGAGGCCTGCATGCATTTGTGTGTGAGGCTGTCCATGTGTGTATTTCTCTGAGGGTGTGTGCGTGGAGTGTGAGGTACCCCCGCTCCTCGCCATTCAGCCTGCCTGAGCCCTGACTGCCTGTCAAAGCCCACAGGTACTGCCTTGAACCTTTCTCCACCTCTGACCTAGAAGACAGGCTGGGAGTAGGTGAGGGGAAGAACTCCGAGGGTGTACACTGGGTCTGTGCTGGGGGAAACCCCATCTTGCATTTGGGCGTTAGGCTCTGAGACCCTCACCTGTGTTTCTACAGTCAGTCGTGTCTGGCCTCCAAGCTCTACAAAGCAAAAGCCCTGCTCTCTGGGCTGGATCTCTGCCACTGGAATCCGAGCAGCCTTGAACCAGGTCATCACTCCTCTGAGCCTCAGTTTTGTCATCTGTAAAATGGACCAGACACGGGGAACAATGAAAGTGTGGGAACACTGGAGGCATGACTGTGTCTTTTCAGTTTCGTAACCAGAGTTGCCAGGTCATAGTTGGTAGTAAGCGGGGCTCGTGCAGGAATGTGAATGTGTTTTGCACTGTAGAATGTGGTGGGGTAACGGTGGGGTGGACACTCCCTTGCTGCATGGCTTTGTCTTGTCCCATCCCTGCGTGTAACAGAAAGGTCTTGCTGGAGACCGTAGCTTGGGAGTTGTCAGAAACACCTGATCTATCCTGGCCAAAGCGGTTGTGAGGAGGAGCAAAGGCGTCGGAGACCCCTGACTTCTCCTGAGATGACCCGATGAGGGGCTGAGCAGGCTCATTGTTCTGGCAGGTCAGCCCCTAGCTGTCCCATCCTGCGCCCTGGAGCTCAGGTCCGGCTGGAGCAAATCCTCCCAGGGCTGGGTTCCCACGCCACCTCTCAGCAGCCCCACCTGCCCATCAGCTGTTCTCATGTCCCGGCACCCAAAGCCTTCCTGCCAGGAAATTCCCAGAGTTCCTCTGCCGTGAAGTCAGTCTGTGGTCATCTTGGGATGCAAAGCCTATGCCCTGGGGAGTGAGCTCTGGGCCCTCAGCCAGGTTTATCTTAGAGTTATAGGCGGCTTGAGAACTCCAAAGCCAGTCTGGGAGGGATATGGCCAGGCCGCTGCTGTTGTTGTTATGTTGTTATGTGCCATCGAGTCGTTTGTGACTCATAGCGACCCTATGTACAAGAGCCCTAAACGTCGTCCTATCCTGTGCCAACCTCGCCGTCTCCGATACACTCATTCACACCGCTCCAGTCACAGAATCGATCCATCTCATCGAGGGTCTTCCTCTCCTGCGCCGCCCCTCCACTCTGCCAAACATGATGTCCCTCTCCAGGGACCAGTCCCTCCTTGCAACATGCCCAAAATATGTCAGACGAAGCTTCAGAATCCTTGCCTCGAGGGAACATTCTTGCTTCACCCTCTCCAGGACATAGGTCACTGCTAGCCACAGAATAACAAGGCGGGGCATGAGCACCTACTATGTGCCAGGCTCCAAACTTGGCACCTGTGCTATGAACACCCTCTCGACCCTCAAGATACCGCTATGGTTTACACACCCACTTCACATTTGAGGAATCTGAGACTTGGAGAGGCCATCTGACTTGATACTCAGTGGCAGGTCTGGGATTTGAATCCACAGCCCATGCTCTTAACCACCATGCTGTATTACCACTTGGTTTATTTCCTTGTTCTCGTCTTTAACCATCCAGTGCCATCAGCAGATAGTAAATAAGTGTCTCCTAGAGAGCTCTGGTGTCCTGGTGTTAAGAAATTGCACTGCAATGCCAAAGGCACAGGGTTTGAATCCACCAGCTGCTCTGCGGGAGAAGGATGGGCAGTCTCTCCCCGTGCGATTTATTGCCTCTGAATATGAGTCAGTTTTAACTCAACAGCACACAACAGCATGTTCCAACCCCTGCTCTGACCGATGCTAACAGCTGTGAACTAAACAAGGTGTGGAGCTCCTGGGGGCCAGGGGGAGTTCCCAGGAGAGGTAAGAGCGCGCTTCAGTGTTCAAGAATAGCAAAGCAATTGACGTGACCAGGAGGGCAAGCAGAGAGGGTGGGCAAGATTCTGCCGGAAAAAGGGAGTTCGGGAGAGCTGCAGAGGATGACAGTGGAAAGAAGGCCTCTTAGGGCGGTTAAGAATCTTGGGCAATTTTTTCACGTGGAGGACAGAGCCCCCCAGGAGCACAGGTGGCTAAGAGAAGGCTTGATAGATAATTCACAAAGACAATTTGCCACATCCTACTTCAGCAAGGAGTGACGGGGGTCTTAGCAATTTCTGAGCAGCCTCAGAGGTAGCTATTGGTCTCTTCCACTCTGAAACAAAGAAGAGGGAAGAAAAGCAAAGATGTATGGAAACAATCGGTCCAACGAACTCCTGGCCCACTCGAACCTTAACTTCCACAACCCTGAGACCAGAAGCAGTGGAGGGTGCCTGGCTACCGCTGCTCACCACCCAGTGGAAGGTCCTGGACAGAGGAGGGGGAAGTGTGGAGCAAACCTCAGAGACATTCAAAAGGCCAGGCTTTGTGATCCAGTATGTCCGGGAGAAAGTGCAGCTAATGTACTTACTCCGTGGAGGCAGAGGGAAAAGCATCGTCTTACATACTTCGGGCATGCTGTTACAAGAGGCTGTTCCTTCCCCACCCTCCAACTAATTTATTTACAAACTTCGAATACAAATTTGAACAAATTCTTTCAATTTCCCTGACCCTCCCCCTATCAAATTGTACAACCCAATGATTAATCCCCTCTTCCCCCTGCACATCCACATCCCTCTGCTTCCAGCCTCTCCCACCCCTCCTGGATCCTTATACTCATTCTACAATAACGGTTTTATACAACATTTATCCTTGTGGGACTGAGTGAGTTCACTCAGCATAATGCTCTCCAGTCCCTCCCGAGTTAGGTAATAATTTACAAAGTTATTGCTCCTGCGTGCTGCATAGTATTCCTTGGAGACGGATATCATCCTTGGGAATGTGGGGAGGGGGGTCTGGAAAAAAGAAGACCCTCAACCAGGTGGATTGACACAGTGACTACGGCAGCAATGGGCTCGAGTGTCAGAGATGATGGCGCAGGACAGGACAGGGGTCAGAACTTTTATCGTAGGTCACTGAGTTGTACTCAACTTGACAGACCTAATAGCACTTGGTCCAGTAGAGACTTGGTGCCCCCCCCCCCAAGTCCTTTGTCATCCTTTGAACCTGGACTGAAACTCACCCCTGTGGTTCAACTTCCAGCCAAACACTGTTCAGGCCTATGAACTCTCACAAAGCTCACTTCCATTGAGTCAGAACCTCTCGGGCTTTTGAAGGCTGTAAATGACGTGGGCAGAGACGGCCGATCTTTCTCCCCAAAAAGTAGCTGGAGGATTCAAACTGCCATAAGGCAGTTCTAACACACACCTGGGAGATACTCTTGAGAATAACTAGCCATTGAAGGTCACAAGGATAAAGCTCAGAAGGTAGGAGGGTGTAACATAGAAGGATTAAGAGAAATGAGAATCACAGCGAGGACGTGGGGGAAATGCAAGGACATCGTGGAAGCCGTCAGGATTTAGCTCAGGGATTAGAGATGGAGCTGGTCGGCCTCACCACCGTGCGACCTTGGATTTTCTCCTTTTTGAATCTCAGTTATCTGTCAATATAATGGGGATATAAGATTGCGTTTCTCCTGAAGTGAACTATGGGTATTGTGCTGGGAACTGGGTGCCTGGTTATTATGATCACCAAAGCACTGTATGTAGTCACAGGGCTCATGAGCCACCTTTCCACA